GTGTAGGCCCCCCCCCTCCTCCCTTCCTCCTGCTTCAAGAGAGGTACCGGCATCAAGACACATAATCTTTTGTCAATCTATTATGTGTCTTAAATAGTATTTGGCAGTAAACTGAAAACAAACTAATAGTAATGAGCTTTCCTTATAAAAGTTAACCAACTTAATTGAAATTATTCAATCCATGCTACGAATATTTCTTTTCACCGAGTTTCCCAATATTTGAGGCAAATCGGTCTAAAGGTTTCATGTGTTATGATCGGACATACAAACAAAGAGACAAACAGAGATTAATTTATATTTTAGTATACTTCTACTTTGACCTAATGCCTATATAATATTCTTTCCAATTTTGTTTTACATGTTCATTTCTTCTCTTTTCTTGTTCCTATTCATTTCAGTGTTATTTTCCATTCCATTCTATTCTATTCTGTTTATTTCTATTATATTCCATTTAATTATATTAAATTCCAATCTATTCCATTCCATTCTATTATATTCCATTCTATTCCATTATATTCTCTTTATTCCATTATGTAATATTCTATTCCATTCTATTCCATTAAATTTTTTTTCTATTCTAATCTATTATATTCTATTCTATTCTATCATAATCTATATTCTATTCTATTCTATTCTTTTCTATTCTGTTCTATTATATTCTATTCTATTCTATTATATTATATTCTATTCTTTTGTATTTATTATATTTTCTTCTATTACATTTGATCCTTAAACTATTCTATTCTTTCTATTCTATTCTATTATATAATTATATTCTATTATATTATACTCTATTCTATATCTATCCTATTCTTTTTAAATCTAAATTCTCTTGTATTCTGGTATTTCATATTCTATTTTATTACCTGTGATCCTTGAACTGATGGAGAAGATCACTAACTCGTGGATTCTCCACCAGTAGTAGACGAAGGGGTAGAATACAGTGGTACTCTAAATATATTGGATAGTATAGTAGGGGTAGAATACAGTGGTACTCTAAATATATTGGATAGTATAGTAGGGTAGAATACAGTGGTACTCTAAATATATGGGATAGTATAGTAGGTGGAGAATACAGTGGTACTCTAAATATATTGATAGTATAGTAGGGTAGAATACAGTGGTGTTCTAAATATATTGGATGGTATAGTAGGGGTAGAATACAGTGGTACACTAAATATATTGGACAGTAGTATTTGTTCATCCAAAATTAAATTTAATGAAAATGAAAATGTATTAAATATAAAACTATTGTGAGATTTTTTCATACATCACATTCGAATAATTTAACCTAAAGATCTTGTATAGGTTTACCTGTTGAGTTAAAGGAATCTGTGAATGTAGGTTTAATTGCTCTGGATAGAATTAAACACTCCTAGAACCAGATTTAAATTTTATGAGAAGCTAGCGTTGGCCGTGGAATTTTTTTAATCGAATTTCAAAATAAAATTTTGTTTTTTAAGTAAAAAAGAATTTAGATTTAAAAATAAAAATTTGTAGCCTTTGTTATCCCCGGGGTACTGAAGGGTTAACTCAAAAATGTTAGCCCATTCGGTCCAGCCGTTTGGCCAGCTAAAACTGACATATCTACATACATCCTAATATATGTACATATTTTGAGCAAAGAGATTTATTAAATAGATAGAAGACTTTCGTTGGATCAAAATAAGATGAACATCAGAGCGTGTAACTTTTGAATAGAAGGAAAGAGTTAAACTCATTTATCTTTGAAGAAAGATTAACTTTTCTCTCTTTGTTTGAAGAGGAACACTGTTTTCTAACCTGCGGTAT